AACCCCCCCCCCCCCCCCCCCCACCCCCACCACTGGAGCTAAATCCTGGAACCACCAGCAGTGCATAAGCCTTCAACTGGACAGTCTTATTGTTACCTCTGCTATTCACTTGGATGTATGGGTGCACAATTGTGATTATTACCTTATATTCTCCCATACTCATTGAACATCCATGTATTATTAATATCCCAGCTTAAAAGAGGAAAGTGGGTATTACAAAAGGTGGTCAGGTAAAAATAACTTGTCTGCTTGGTGGATGGAAAATCCCCAAATGTGAGTTCCTCTTTTATGTAATTTTCCCTTGTATAAGAGGCCCGTAGCCAACAATTTCAAACGAAGGTTATTCTCCTGAAAAAGTGGACCTTTTACCATAAAAACTCTGTGTACCTAGGTAAAAGGGCTAGGGGATTCTTTCAACCTCCTCAAACCCCTTGGCTATGCATATTCCAGGGTTACTTAGAAACTAGTTTTAAAGACTGTGCCAAAAACAAGCCCTTTGGGACATCAGGGTTTGAAAATGCATTGAACAGAAGCAGAAATAGTGTCCAGTAACTTAATTAACATTGTTTTAAAATTTTTTACTGGCCTGGTTTTAGCTTAAAATACTTGCATTGGCATAGAATGAGTATAAGCCTGGAGACTGAATATTAAATTTAAAAAGTTATTGGTACATGTAACTATGTATATTTTTTCTTCACACTAGTATTTTTACATATTCATATATTTATTTTATTACAGCTCAAAAAAAGCCTTGTATCTTAGACTTATTAGCCTATTGTCTACCTTTCTGTAAATAGTGGTTGTAAAAAGTGATAGTATACTACATTTTTATTTTTCATACCTTGATAGAAATGACAAAGTCACAATGATAATACTATGTAGATGCTCCAAATGTGAGAGGCATGTGTGCGTGTATGGGAGTGAGAGGTTTAGTTAATTATCCTAGTTATTATTTAGTGTATTATTGGTATATTCTGGGGAAAAAAACTACGTATATTTAAAACAAAGAAGATAAAAGAAAAAAGCACATTTTGTTATGAAGGTTGATTATAGTTTCTTTATGTATGTTTGAAGTTGTCAACTTTTGCCTTATACATGTATTATTACTGTAACGAAACAGACAAATGAAGTTTACAGGACTTGCATTCAATATATATAGAGCTGAACCTGGCCGAGTGCTAGGTATACCAAAGCAGACTGACTTGTGTTGATGTTTTTAACCTCTTTTCAATTGTATCAGGTTTCTGAAAGTAACTAGTAGGGAAGTTTCTGTCTCATTGCTAGTCTGTGCAACCCATAAGCATTTTCAATGGGAGATTTGCTAAAGCTTCATTTGCTTGTAATTATCTGTTGGAATAATTGTGCATTGTCAGTGATTATGTAATTGTCTGGAAAATGGTTTGGTTGATATGAAATTCTAACAAAAATAACAGTATGGCAGGGATTTATAATTTTTTAAAGTAGAATATTGTTACTGTTAACACAGTAAATTTTGTTAAATATGTAACTGTTATTGTTACAGTTTTTTAGAATGACTAATAATGTAGAGACTTTTTTCAAATATAATTTTTGGATGCTATTTGAATTTATTTGAATTTAATTTATAATTTTGAGAAAAAGAGGGTTTTAGCACTGGATTTTACAATCATATTCAGACTCTTGACAACAGTGCTTTGATTTTCAGCAAATGGGGTGCAGCTCAGTTATATTTTAACTTCCTTGTTAGGAATTTTGAGCCCAAGATATAGTGGTTTGTGTTGAAGCTCTTATTTCTAGTACAAATTGTAGCAAGTATTGGTCTGATGCCTTTACTAGAGATACATGCTTTATATAATGTATTATTTTGAAACAAATAGGGATGGGTAAATCCTGTCAGCCCTGAGCTTTTTTCCTCTTTTACCATCAATTATTTTAACTCATCATAATGTTTTTTATTTAAAAATTTTATTGTGACAGATCCTTTAGAATATTTTACTAAATTTGATTTCCCAAGATTAATATTTTTTTCAATGATTTTCAGATCTTGATAAATGTGGCTTACTGCATTTTGATTCTTATTGGAAAACTCATTCAACTTGGGGTGTTTGGGAACCTGAGGATTAGTGAACAGGAGGTAAGATTGTGGTTAGAATGCAAAGTAGATATATTTTTGAGCTCAGAAATAATGAGATGGTAAAAAAAGTAACAAAACAATTTCACTGGTTACTTCTTATAACCCTGCCCCTCGTTTATGAATGGATTGTGTTACATGAACACTACAGTAAGCATGTTTGTTCACTTTGTTATTCTCAGACAACAGTTTGGTTACTCATTGTAGCATGGGGTGTTATCCCCAGATGTGTTGGCTTTAATGTCCTAAAATTATTGCTGTTAACAAGAGAGTTACTTTTGGTAAGAAAAGGCAACAAGCAGTTAACAATTTGGAGTGTTCTTTCTGAGCTCAACTGCTTATTTTATTATTTTAATAATTAAAATAGAACAAAGTTTTGGCTCTAACTTTTACTAGTAGATATCGTGTGATAAAATCCTCATAGAGCTTGTTAAGAATTGAACATTAATGGTAAGAAGAAAAGAAAAGAATCAAATAATTGCAACTGAGAACCAGAATCTGGAAATACTATCTGAAAATAAGAAAGGAAAAAAATGCTTAAGTTTGAGCTTTGAACTTTGGATACCTGTGCCAGTGCTTATTGTTAAAATGTTTACAAGCAGGACATTTGTTGAAAATATCTACTGCTTAGCAGTTTGACATTTTGGACTTAAAACTTGTGGTCTAATAAGATGCACAAATGTTCATGAATTTCATCTGAAGAATTAAACTGTTGTTAAGTACCTGTGCAGTAGGCAGATAAAGCAGATGTTCATTGCCAAGTTTTAGCTGTACAGAAACCTTGAATTGTATGGCTTACCACATTGATTGATTTTTCTTTGGCTTCCCTGTGATTATCTGGTTCAGAGAAAGTTGAAATTTCTCATTCTTAAACAAGTTTGTTGAAAAGGATGTTATTAAACATATATTAGGAGGTGTATTTTGGTGATATTAGTTTTCTTTAGCAAGTGATCATTGTATAGGGTCATCATTCTCTATTATTAGAAATTTCAATAAGAGAAGGGGCAGGCCCAAAAGCAAGGAGAAGAGATTTGCTAATGTAATTTGTTAATGTAATTAGATAATTACTACAGTTAACCTATTTATGTACTGATTTTATACCTTTTCTCTTCATTTGACTGTCCCCATATCAATATTTTTTGTTTAAGCACCTCAAGGACAAATTCTGGAACTTTATATTCTACAAGTTCATCTTCATCTTTGGCATCATGAATGTCCAGACCATGGACGAGGTATTCAGGTGGTGTGGCTGGTTCTCCATTCTTTGTTTTCTACAGCTCCTGGCACAGCTCAGCAAGGACAGGTTTGAATATGTAAGTTTATTTGTTATTTTATTTATTTGCTGTTTTGTTTTATTTATTTGAATTGCAGAAATGACATAAACCTACAAACAACATTGACTGGACAAAAATGTTTCAAGCACTTCTTTCACTCATTCTAAGTTGCAAAGAGAATGTGTAAATCATATGATGTTGTTGTAGGAAGTAGTTGGCAGGAAAGTTATCAGACTGTTGAAATGGAATTTTTTCCTTTTATGAAAGTGTCTTTATTGGTCAAAGTAATCAGAATTAGATAGGAAAAAGTAGAGGTAAAACTTAAAATAGTATCACAGTACTGAGTTTTGAAAAAAAAAAAATAACAATCTAAAAGATATATACAGTCTTCACATTGAATATGGATTATTTTTTCTGCGTTTTTTTTTTTTTTTTTTTTTGTTAAAAGTGTTTATTTGATTGGTACTACTTGTCCTGGGAATACAAACATGAAGTCATGCATTGCTAGAAATTATAGTTCTGCTGTTAGGGCATACATGACTGGGATTCAATGCCCATAGGACGAAAATATTTCCAAGTAATGCAAGTCCTACGTGTAGAAATGCACGTCCTACTAAGATGTCTATTCTCATAACTTTTGTGATGAAACATATGTGATGCATACTTTACACAAAAAATGATATATAAAGTTTTACCCATTAGGCTTAGCAACACGTAATTTTACTAAACACAATTGATTAAATTTAATTTTATCGACAGATCATATTAATTAGCATTTTATACTTTTACTGTATGAACAATATATGGGCAATTGATATTATTGTTGTTGTTGTTGTTGTTGTCGTTATAAATAATTTGAAATATAGGTATAATAGATTGACAGATATATTATGTTTTTGCTTAATTTCATCAATACTACATCCTTTTTTATATTTGCAATGTTATGATTTTTCTGATATGTAGTTTACAGTCATATAATAATACAATAACAAAAACAAACATCGCAACTGACTATTAGTTTTATGAATTTATAAATGTTTTATTTTTCTCTAAATAAATTGCTTTGATTGCTGGCATTTACGCCGCTTTGCAATGAGGGAAACCTCACAGTTTGACACACAATTTATTATCTCACTAAACACAGGGACCCACCCTGAGCTTCAGAGATAACTTGCCACTAACCTCTTCACTATAGCCTATCTTCATCGTGTCAAGTTACCTCTGACGAAAATAGTTTGACCTAGTTTATATAAGCCAATCGAATCCATGTTTCAAAATTTTTCACCAAAGTTTGGTGAAAACGCTGATTGGTTGACCGTCAATCGGCAATCCTCGGCTGATTCCGCAAGCTCCATACAAACAACAAAGTTATCGTCCAGTGCGGAGACATCCGAGTAGTTCCGAGTGCATAACCGTACACAAAGAAAGCATGGCGTCTCCCACGTAAAAAATGTGTTATCTCTTGATTCCTTGCAAAATATNTAAACATCACAACTGACTATTAGTTTTATGAATTTATAAACATTTATTTTTCTCTAAATAAATTGCTTTGATTGCTAGCATTTACGCCGCCTTGCAATGAGGGAAACCTCACAGTTTGACACACGATTTATTATCTTACTAAACACGGGGACCCTGCTTTTAGATTAATATTGGTTTTCTTTGCGTTACAAACTGAAACTCACCGGTAAATTATCTTGAATAGTTTGGACAGAGGATAGGATTTAATGGATAAATAAAGATAATAGACAAAGGAAGATAATTTCCTCATTAAAAAGGTTATCCGTTTTGCATGGTAGATCAGATATTTGGTGCCTTAACTTCCAATCTTCAGATAAAGAGGGGGGTGCTTGTGCTACGGTGTTTGCCTTTGTTGTTTGAGCAAAAGAGATTTTGCGAGAATATGTCTTTGCTTAGCGCGAACCCACGTACCTTATCATGCTTACCTTTCTTGCTTGCTAACAACTATAAAAACGACAGAAATTGAAAAATGCTGGTTTTTCATCATGTTCACTGCTCGATATTATTGCATATCAATTTTTTGCACTGTAACAGAGACATACATATATTTCTGCATGGCGCGGCTCTGGCTAAGTGCCTAATACAGATTAACTAACAGTAACGCCAGCACTTACTGTAGAGCTTCCCAAGCTGTTATTAGAAAATTAAAGAGAAGAAGGAGAAAACAACGATTTCTTTAGAGTAACCCACTTATGTACTTGTTCAGTTATGTACACGTTCGCAAATCATAGTAAGTCATGCAGCTCAAAATTTTACCCACAAGTTACAAATTCGAATAGATCATGCAACGTTACAGGAAGAGATTCAAACTTGCACACCGGACTGTACTTTACTTATAGAGACATCTACCGGTAGCAATACAAAATGATCTCAACTAACACAGTATTTCGTCACCACTGTCATATCGGCTTATGTAGAACAAGCCCTTGGCCTGCAAGCCGCTCCTCCTCTAAATTAGTAATAACTTTTAACATTTTTTTCATGATAGTATGTTAAATTAAAAACGGATAAAGCGCGTTGGATCTTTATGAAGCAAGGGAAAACTTTATTGAAAGTCACCAAGACGTGTCTTTTTTTCTGAAGGTGTTCTCAAACGTACGATCAATAAACCCCTTTTTATTATCAGTTTTCTTGCTTTTGGCTCTCTCCTTATGGAAATAGAAATTGGTGAATTTGACAACACAGTGCTCAAATAAGACATTTAAATCCCGATGACTGGTTTATATAACATAATTTCCTGAAAGGATTTGGGTAAGCGTATACATGTAACTTGGCGATTATGAGGAGAAATGTCCGGTTCTGTTTTTTTTTAGTTAGCGAACGAAAACACGAACGGTTTGAAATAGTATACTAAATGGACTTATCTACTAGAACACATTGGGGAATACCCGCTTTAAGGGTCTGCCGCTAGATGGCGTGGGGGTGAAAGCAGTCCTTCTTAAATCTCGCAGAATCTCGCTCACGGCTTTACACCAGAGTTTAACATGGAGCGTGTGCACGCGTCGCTGACAATGAACCAACTCAAACGCAATTTACTTGAATGTGGTGCCATAACATCTGGATGAAACTGTGAATTGACTGAAAGGTATGTGTTTTCTTTTCATTTAGTGCTTGAAAAACAAGAATGCTTACTATTTTCCTTGAAAAAAATCGAACATTAGTCGAGGTGTGTGTGTCAAATCTGACATGTTATGTACATGTACATGTAGACTACTGTAGGTACGAGTAGGCCTACGCTCATATTTTGTTTTAGTAGCACGAAAGACGAAGATTTTTTATACTTAGTAAATGTATTTATTTTTTTTCTTTATAAGGTTACCCAAAGAAGGCCCATATATTGGGGGCAAAGCCTGAAACTGTCGATTTCAGGACCCCAGGACAGCCAACTTCAAGAGCAGGATTACTTCAGGAATCTTACCCGTCACTTCACATCAGCGGCAAAGATTGATGTAGCCACCAGTTATGCCTACCCTAAAGCTGACTTACAGGCGGCTGTGATGGACAACAACTATTGCCAAGTGCCATGAAAACAATAATGCATGGATAGAGGGAATGATGTAAGTGAAAACAGAGGTCTAATATTAAGAATCAGGCCCAAATATGAGAAAGAATTATCAAACTAGGTGATGTGTGACATCATAGAAATATAAAATTGTATCTTAACTATTTAATGCTGTAACCATCTACCATGCTTTAATGGGATATGACTATTTCAGGTTGAGGAACAAACAGCGAAGGACACTGAGCATAGCAAGTTACAACAAGGAAAGAGCGCAATCTGACACAAGGAGAGACAATGGCGGATCACTGCTTCCAGATTTGGAGAGATAATGTCAGCTACAGAGAAGAAGTATATGAACAAACTGTATGAATAATTGTTGTGTCCAAAACCATTGCAGACACATGACAGTTGGACCCGGACCCGATTTCCCCTTTTTGGAATGTGTATCTCGTGCACGAATCTGGGCCTAAAGAAAACCCGCGAATACTATACTAAGTTAGAAGGCCAGATGTTCATTACAAATCGCCCATTCTGCTATTTTGCTGTGTTTACATTCAAAGATCTGTTTGTGGGGTTGATTCATTCTGACGCTGGATATTTTTCTACATGTATTTTGCCCAGGATAACTTTTTTTAATGAAAAACACTATAGGAAGTATGTGTCAACCAGTTTATAGAAAGTACCCCTGTATGAGATGGTTTTAGCTGCAATCATAATTTTGAAGTGCAATTTTAAAAAATGTTTTCACTAAAATGAAATAATTTGGTGGTGCTATATTCTTTACAAAAAGTACTTATGTGTTTATGCTGTTTTTAATAATATTTAACTGTAATGAAAAAAAACCCATGATGCTATTTTGTAAAGTATTTTAGTGGGATGAAATAAATTGCTAGTTGTATTTACAGCAAATAATTTGGTTTTTCTGCTTTTTAAAGAATTTTCAAAGTGATGACATAATGTGGTGGTTCTATTCAAGTAAAATAATTCATAAGTACTATTTTGTAAAAAGGAACAAAAAACTGTTAATTTGTAAAATGTTTGCTTTCTTTAATTTTTATTTCTTAAACTGTTACAAAAAGTTTTCCATACCTACAGTAATCCATTGGCTGAGAAATTGCAGCTATATATTCAGGAAAGTTATAGCACAAATAAATTATCGAAGTATTACATGGTTTCATGGTTTTTACTATGGACTGAATAATTATTTTGTTTAAATAAAATATTTGGTTTTGCTGCTTTTTAATGAATTTTCAGAGCGATGAAATAATATGGTGTTTCTACTCAAGTAAAACAATTCAGAAGTGCTATTTTGTAAAAAAAGAACAAAAACTGTTCATTTATAAAATGTTTTCTTTCTTTAAATTTTATTTCTTAAACTGTTACAAAAAGATTTCCAAACATGCATTATTCCATTGGCTGAGAAATTGCATCTATACATGAACAAATAAATTATCTAACTATACCTAGTTTTATGATTCTTACGAGGTACTGAATAATGATTTTAAATAAAAATAATTATTTAATTAACATTACCGGTCATGCTCAATACATCAATAAAAAAGGATATTACTTAATAACACAACCTTATGCGGGTAGTAGGCTACCGGGACTTATATATATTTACTGACAACTCTTCTGAAATTACGGACATAAGAAAACGCACTTTGATAAATCATACTTCCTAGGGGCACTTTCTTGCTATGGAGCTCTCTTTCCAAAACTTTATAAGTTTTGCCAAGATCAATTAACCTTTTTACGTGTATTCTTTTTGAGGCAACTCGTCTATCTTTAGGGGCCTAATTACTGTTCCTGGGTCAAGTTGTAACTGACCCTTTAACATGGAAGGTGTGTTGACATGGGCAACCCTTCACTTCAAACGAAGCCCTGAATCCTCAAGAAAATTATGCCCACCTTGCCGACTTTGACATTCAGGTACACAACAATACTGAGGCATGTTTATTAAGGCCAGTACCACAGTCCAACGTATATACAATATCCAACATGGCGACCTAGGAAGGACTGAATTCACACTAGCGACACCTGGCGCCAAGCGGGCTGGTATTCCCCATTATATAAAGTGATGGGGAAATATTTTTAAAAATCGGTTGTGGTCACGGAAATCAAATTAAGGTGTAAAGTTAATACTTGTATGTATTTATAATAATTATAATAATAATAATAATAATAATAATAATAATAATAATATTACCTCCGCCAAGAAGGTTATGTTTTCTCCCCTGTTTGTCTGTCTGTCTGTCTGTCTGTCTGTCATCAACATAACTCAAAAAGTTATGGATCGATTGTGATGATATTTTCAGGAAGTGTCAGAAGTGGGCTTAGGAACAGATGATTAGTTTTTGGTGGTAATACGGATCAATAATCAATCAATAATCAATAATAAAAAATATTGAAAATTTAGGGATGAAACGGCATTGGATGGAGACTTTGCTGCCTTGGCGGAGGTCTGCGCTCTCTGAGTGCTTTTCTAGTTATTATTTATATTGTTTAAATCGTTTTTTCTCTTCATTTACATATTATATTTTATTTGAATGTAGTATAGAACAGTATGTCACATCGGTTCTAATAAATATGATTTGATACACCCATATGTTGCAGGCACCATTATTCTTTGAAAAGGACCGAGATGAAAATTCGTCCAGCAGGGTTCAAGTTTCGTACTGCCTCTTCTTCCGGTTCTGCTTCAGTTGTGGTGGGTTGAAGGACGAAAAGTGTTGGCAATGAACTGGGAACCAGTATAAAACTCCTTGTTTCTGATATTTTATGGTCCAAAGTAAAGAAGCTAGTTACCCCAGTAATCTAATCAAATAAAGTTTAATTTTAGCACTCCAAAGTGATTATATGTTTATATCAGGCCCCAAGAGGAACAAGGAGGATGTTGGTTGGTTTCGATATTAACGATATATGTTGCGTAATGACATACATTTTAATATGAATGACTTTATAAGGGGGGAAATCACCTTGGCAGTGAAAAGAATTTAAATCATTTTTCTATATAGCACTTCACATAAGTACTGAAACCAGGATTTATTTCACAAATTATGTGCGTCACTGCCTTGACTCGGATGGTTATTTTTGTGGAGAGACCCAGTAATGGTTTATCATTTCACAACCAATCGATGGTTTCCATGGCAATCAAAATTGTTGTTATGGGGATCTTTATAGCACGTTTTCATAATACGGTTTTTCGAGGAACGGATTTTCAACCAATATTTGAAAGTTCTTAGCTTTCTACCTAACAGAAGTGGGTCTCTTCTGGTTTCATAATATTTCTAGTTATTACTAGTGCTTTTTTTTTACATTCTTTTCAAAAACATCCGTATGTACCTTTCTTATATTCCTTGCATTGTTAAATCTCTCTGATGCATAATTAAAAAAAAAATAAAAACTACTAACGTGCGTATCAAATACTGCATATTGGGTGGACAGATTAAAGGTATGGTTCTTTAACATGCTATAACAAACAATGCTCTTTTACCTTGTTCTTGGGTTTAACAAAACCTACCGTAACACTTAACAATCTTGTTCATAAATTCACAAAAACGCCGATAGAAATTTGAGCTTACCCGCAGAATGATGTCTTGTTCAGATTCTTGACTAGGCGGACCATTACTGGTGTTAAAAGCAAATTTATGGAATGCATGTCATTTCTCGAATCGTTTTCGGCTTGGGAAATGGCACAATAAAAAACTGCCATCCATTCCTACCATCGTGCCTTGAGTCACCATAAACACAATGCTTATTTACCATTTAGCTAAATGTCAAATTCACACAAAAAAATGAAAAAAAAATAACTGTTAAGGAAAATGTTTAAAGTACCTGACACTTTCGCCACTGTTAACTGTGTGAGCCGTGCTGCACCAGGCGACTCCTCGCAGAGCCAGTGTGCATAATATGGAGGGTTAGGGCCTACGTAAAATAACATTTTCGCGCGAGTCAATTAAATATACAGATATTGGCAGAGGTAGATGTCATTTCGCGGTTTTACTAATTATGCAATAGTGTATGAAGTTGTTTAGAACCTATTCAGGGTCACCTTGGCACGGTGTCTTGTTTGTTATATCACAGCAGGTAAGCACGGAAGATATTTAGTTCAGTTTTTGACTACAAATGTAAGAACGTGTATGTATGTGTGTTTGTTTGTATGTATGTGTGTGTGATTATATGTGTGTGCGAACGAGTGCGTGCATTCTTTACGTAAATACACCTCGAGTTTACCCTGAGTGTCAGGGCACTGTAAAGCTTGCTTGCTCACTATACCTTTTCATGTGTTGGCTTTACAGTGTTGCTGATATGGGTTATATTTGAAATCAAGATCGAGCTGGCAATACCGAAATCTAGAACCTAGGGTACTCGAGTTAAGAGTAGATAGACGTTTCTCCGTTGCCTTAAGGACTTGCCTTGTTATAGTCCAGAGACGTCGTGCATGTACAATATAGGCCTACTTGTATGGGGAATAAAAAAAGGGAAACTTAACAGTACCATTAAATACTCTTTAAATAATTGGATAGACAGAAAAATGGCTTCACTTGGTTGACAGGGATTCAAACCCCTCAGCTAAAAAAGGTCAGTTGGTATGGGCTGTTATGGGGAGTTCGCAAACTCATCTTTCAGGTAGATAACGGCAACCTAGATGGACAGGATCAAAATCTCACGGAGTCATCAGTTTCTTCTCAAACATTACTTTTCTTTTCGGTTGAGTAAATTAAAGAAACCCAACTAATTCAAAATTCAGATTAGTTAAAAAATATTTTTGAAAAAGGCCGGGAACATATTACTCCAGTCTTAAAAGAGCTACATAGGCTACCAATCCGACAAATATGAAGACAGGGCTTTTATTGCTAATGCCCCAAACTATGGAAAGAACTGTCCTTTTATAAAAGATCTGAAATTAATTAAACAGTCTCTCTAAAAACTCAGCTTTTAAAAAGTTTTTTATGGTTAATGTTTTTAAACTTTTATTGTAAGTCTGCAATTTCGTGCTGTAATTCTTAAGAATTTTCATTTTATGATTGTAAAGTGCAATGAAATGCAGGAAAATGAAATGTGCTAGAAATAATAAGGATAACAACAACAGCAACAACAGCAACAACAACAATAATAATAATAACGGGTTCAGCAGCTGTACGTTTCGTTGCTTTTTCAGTAGATCTGCAAAATGTCAGCTTCAAGTGCCCTGTTAGCTGTGATTGTATTCTGCATGTGGACACCAACAGGAGGACATTTGATTAAACGGTAAGTTTTCAGTTTTAAAAAATGGACTTATACTAACGCTTGTTTTTACGTTATGGTTACGTGCACGTGAGCTTGCTCGTGTGTTCTTTATTTCTTTGTATGCCCATGTTGTTGTTTGCACGTTTGGTTGTTTGTTTTTTTGCATGTGCTTTGCATGTAATTTTTGTGGACTTGGTTTTGATATAAGACGAAAATGTCTCTATGCTGCATGGGGCCTAGCAGGATATTTGTTATTCTTGTGATGTTCATCGCCTAGTTTGCATCACCTTCGCCTTGCCTGTTAGAAATTTTGTAAATTAAAAGGATGGATGCCCTCTACCAGGGTCGCAGATTATATGGACAATTCACCAGCGAAATTTGCCTCATAAATAAGCCAGACATAAATATGTGTGTGTGTGTGTGTGTGTGTGTGTGTGTGTGTGTGTGTGTGTGTAAATATATAATAAAAATAATCAATCTGTGACCTTGGGTGAAGGTAAAGGTATAGACTTACCGGATATATGTTCACAGAAATATTTTTAACTCTATGTTAACAGTTACTTATCTCGCTACTTCTGGGCACATTTGTGAACCGTGACAATCTCAGCAACGAAAGTCAGAAATGACGTCATCAGGCGGCTGTCCTCGGGTAGAGAGTACCTCGAATACATCCAAGGTTTCTGATCTCTTCTGTGTAACGTTTCATATTATATTATATTATATTATATTATATTATATTATATTATATTATATTATATCAGCCGTCAGTCAAGCCAAGTTGGGACCTCTCCTCAGCAATGTGCTGTAACTGACCGACTGCTGGACATGTTGCAGAATGTTGTTCAGACACAGCAACAGGAACTGAATTCACTAGAGAGCAAATATGACGACTTGCTGGTTAAATATACCACGTTAGTTGAAACTGTAGCTAAGTTGCAGATTGACGTGGCAAATTTTACTTCCGAAAAGCAAGGAGGTACACACAGATAAAATTATATATACATTTTTTGATATATTGAATTACCCCTATTGCTTAGAATCGATAGCTCCATAATATATTATTTCATTTATTCATTTTCCTGTTTAGTATTCATTATCCTATGTTGCCATATAATTTGATATGTTGCGATTGAAGGTCTTGCGCTGAGACTAACACCCCATTTCCATAGATTAGATCGACCTACTTTAGATCGACCTAACTCCCAGGGGGTTCACGCTAAATAGCTGTGAGCCGGGCGGACACGAAAGTTAATTACCCATTTACAGCTTGTAGTAGGCGGGACAGACATTTAAGTCGGATTATCTGAAAGTAATCTAGTGAGACTCCCCGCGGGGATAGATCGATCTAAAATCTATGGGAATAGAGCCCAAGCCACCAATAGAAGCTTGTCATCTGTTGTGAATGTTTTCAGCTGGAGGCAAGGACTGCGCTGAGCTCTACAAGAACGGGTTAAAACTAAGCGGAGTGTACACCATTACCCCCTCTAACGGTCAAAGTCCCTTCGATGTCTACTGTGACATGACCACTGACGGGGGAGGATGGACGGTAGGTCCAACAGCCGTCTGTCGTCGATGTGGTTTAATTCAATTTATTTCTTGGGGTGGTGGGGGGGGTAGAATATGATTTAGTGGCCCAAAGTTTAATTTTGTAATGATATTGCAATAAAGCTTAAGTTTACGACATGTATTGTGTACGTTCTAGGGCATCAAGTGAGAAGATGCCATAAAGTTGATATATCGCCTTTTCTCCCTCTGAACATATTTCAGGGGCTGATCCAGAATTATTTGAAGGGGGTTCCGTAAATGTTAAGCCAACCCCCCCCCCCTCCAGGCGTACGTGTGGGCTTCGGGCCCGCTAAAGGGACCCAAAGAATATTGGCATTTTAGAGGGCGAACGGTGCCATTTGGTACGGTTTAGATATATGATTAAGCTAGTCAAAGTTCTAATTTCAAGAGGGCACCATTGGTGTTTTTTTTTTCTTTTTTTTTTGCAGAAATCGAAGGGGGGTATGATCCCCTTGCCCCCCCCCCCCCACCCACCCACCCTTTATCCACCGCTGTAATTGACGTGGCCTGGTTTGGTTATTAATAAGTCACCTTCCCCAACTTCCGATTATAGGCCCCCTATGAATCTTTCCACAACCATCTACTTTTAAATAGCTATAAGGATAAATCAAATTCTATGAGTAACAGATTGTTTTGTAAGTTGCAGGTGTTCCAGAAGCGTATGGACGGCTCTGTAGACTTCTACCGTGGCTGGCAGGATTACAAACACGGCTTTGGTAACTTAAACGGGGAACATTGGTTAGGTAGGCTGTGCGCTAACAATAAGAAAGAACAATATTTTTACAAACAAAATATTCCTCCTTTTATTTAATTGTCACTAATTACTGTCATATTTTACTACACACACTGGACAAAAGAAGTGTCACCCCCTAACTCAGAGTAATAAAAGTAGGCAGATCTTGGGTATTTATAATGCCTGGTCTACTTATAATGTGACTAATGAGTATAAAACCGCTATACCATTAAATTGTATTGTTGGTCTTGTACATGTACAGCAAATGTTATTCCTGTCTTCCTCCAATATGGCAAGATACAGGCAATTATCTAACGGTTATAGGTGCAAGTTATTAACCTGAAGAGGCGGAATATAAGCAATGTCAGAATATCGATACAATTGAATTGTTCAGTCGGAACCGTGCAGAGGGTCTGGTCTCGGTATAGAAACACTGGATCAAGAGACAAATTGCCTCTGATGGGTCGTCCAAGAAAAAATACTGGCCGTGAAGACCGACGACTGATTTTGATGTCCAGGTTGTCAAAGTTCGACACTGCTTGTCAGTTGACAACACAGTGGAACAATTTCACACATAAGAATGTGTCTGTGAAAATTGCTAGGCGTCGGTTACATGCTCAGAGAGTGTACAGCAGGGTAGCAAGACTGAAACCTCTTATATCGTTACAAAACAGGCAACGTAGAGTAAACTAGGGTCAACAGGATCTGGAACTGGACAGTTCATGACAATTGGTCCTATATATTTTTTCTGATGAGTGTCGCTTTGGTCTGACCTCTGATGACANACCAACTGGACATTCGCAGGGTGATGTGGCCTGCCCAGAGTCCGGATGCAAACATAATAGAAAATGTGTGGAATGATATGTCAAAACTTTTGACAAATGCCCGTCTAACTAGCAGAGAAACTCTGTTATATTCAGTGTTTCATGCTTGGGCCAGCATAAGCACCTGAACGCATCAGACAATTATATGAAACCTTGCTTCGTAGACTGGCACCTATTATTAGGTCACGTGGCTATGCCACTAAGTACTAATTTTGGACTTAAAACTGCATATTTTGTTAGAATGTATATTTTGTTCTCATTTTGTGATTTTTTGTGAAATTTGATGTTAATAAAATGATACCAGGAGCATATCATTCCACAGTCATTTATCTCCCCCATAGTATTGGCTCAGTAGGGGTGACACTTCTTTTGTCCAGTGTGTGTACATGTAGATTCTTTTAACGTAATTTATTCAATAATATATATTAAAATGTGTCCAATCATCAATTGAATTTATCCATCTGTGCCCTTGTCATTTAACGAATCGAATGTTAATAAATGTGTACACAGTGTATTCATAATTTATTACCCCATTTTTCCAAGGAAACGACCAAATAAGTCTCCTTACTCACCAGGGGTACTATGAACTCCGTGTTGACCTAGAAGACGTCACAGGGGTGAAAGTTTATGCTCGCTATGATAACTTTGCTGTGTCTTCGGAACGGACAAATTATCAGTTAACACTTGGGGCATATTCTGGAAACGCAGGTTTGTTTATTAGTTAACATTTGAAGCATATTCTGGGGACGCAAGTTTGTTATCAGGTAACACTTGGGCCACATTCTGGGGACACATGTTCGTTTTGTTGATGCTCAGTTTATACTGGATGGTATTCAATTTTTGAGAAGTTTACGATTTTACCTTAGCATACTGTAGAATAATAAGTCTTGAGAAAACTTTAAGTAATCGTCACTAATTTTGTCAAGTCAAGTTAAAATTAGGGATACCAGTATCCATTTCTTTAAAGTTGAATGAAAGAAAAAAAGCTATCTTCCCTTAAATACCAAAGTTATAAGAAAAAGTATGTTTATATTGCTTTCATAATTCCTAAGATGAAAAAAAAAACACAGTTAAACCAAAACATAAGAGATTCCTGGGAGTTAAAGTGGATTGAGTAGTCCCTATTACTATACTTTTATCATTCTAGGTGATTCCTTGTCAAGCCATAATGGTTTTTCATTCACCACAAAGGACAGAGATAACGATGCATATGAAAAGAATTGTGCGCAGCTTTACAAAGGAGGTTGGTGGTACGAGAGATGCCACGATTCCAATCTGAACGGCCTGTACCACCTGGGTGATCACACCTCGTACGCTGACGGCGTCAACTGGAAGGAATTTAAAGGGTACAACCACTCCCTGAAGACAACAGAGATGAAAGTTCGTCCTGTCGGTTTCAAATCTGCAAATATCGTCATTGGATGAATTTCAGCTTCTTGCAGTGATGAAACTTTATTTCATCACCTGCCAATGAAAACGTTTTAAAAGTGGAAATGAAATATTGTAGTAATGCTAAACCTTTCATTTTTAACGTTCCAAAGGCAAGTCTGGTCTGAAATTGGATACTTCTTTTTTGCATTCAAAATAAAGTTCATAATATTCATATTTAAGATGAATAAAACCAAAGGACATACGGCAAGCGATTCTACAATATGTTAGAAATGTGTAATGTTATAACCATTAAGTGTTTCTACTGCAAGATTTGTACTGCAATGTTTTGAGAGAATATTTTTTCAACAAAATCACTTAAAAGGAGTGCCTTTTTCACTTCATCAAACTGACCGTGCTCACATAATTTCTGTTCCAGCCACAGACCTTTCTTCAAACTTGTGGAATCTTATTAAACCAGTGAATTTGGCAGTCAAATAAACCAGTGTAATGTGCTCAGGGAGTTTGTTATTACTAAACTTGTTAAGGACCAAAAATTGGGTAAACACTGTATTTTTGAAGGGGGAGTCCGCGGATGCGAAGCCAACAACCCCCCCCCCC